GTCTGGAAATGGGCCTGGCTCTTAAAGGCTCTGATGAAATCAGCCCAAACCCATCCACCCTGTGCTCAGAGGGAAAGGGAAGGTGGAATGCCAGTGAGCCCCGAGAGAAGACTGGACGTTGTTTGGCACATTGAAATGATCATTTGTCTAAGTGGTCATGTGAAACACACTGTTCTGGACTTAGAATAATGGAATGTCAAGTTACAGAAGGGTCTTGAAATTCATCTATCCAGCTCCCTCTCCTACAGATGAGAAAACTCAAAACTAGGCAGCTCATTCAAGGTTAGCCCAGAGCCAGGCCTTCTTGAATTCCAGTTCAGTATTTTGGTCACTGCAGAATATAGGATCAGAGTTACTGTGAGACTGGGATGAGTCCAGTTGGTCTGCTTCTCTCTTTCTGGGTCTTCTTGATCTTTCTAAATTGTGGCCTCATTTGCTTCTCTGCTTAATAAAACCATGGGTGACTTTCCATTAGCTCAGAACTCCTTAAACTAGCATTCACACCTTTCACAGTTGACATCAATCTACATTTCTAGCCTCAGTGGGTCCTCTGTGATTCCTCTGCACAAACTCCACCATTCTGCCAATAGGCATCATCCTGCTGTTTCTTTGTGCACATTGTTCTCCTCCTCTGGAGTCGCCTCCAGCCTCTCTTCCCATTATAGCCCTTCCTATGGGTTTATGTCCAGCCGAGTGCCACCCCCTCAACTCAGCACTGCTAATGCTGCTTAAAGTACTTAGTCATGGCCATGTCTTCAGTTGCTTGCTAAATCAAAGGCTCCTTGAGAACAGGGACCATTTGGCACAGTTTGCTGAATGTGGCAAATAGAGTGTGCTCCAAAAATCTTCGTTGTATACAAGAATAAATGGCGTCCTGGTGTTTGTGTATTCCAGGCAGTCCCAGAATTTGGGAGGTGCTGAGAGATGTGAAACCTATTGTATAGGGGAAGAATGGACACACTAAAAGTAAGGACAGCCTTATCTTTCTGGAGATCTCAGTCCCACAGTGTGATGGTGGCTGTGGCTCCCGTCCCACCCATGGTATCTTGAAATGGTTGTGAAGATTTCTGTTGGCACTTGACTTTTTAGCACATGGTAGCAAAGGCTCTGTGTGCGCCTTATCTGTAGACCTCATGAAGCCTTGTGCTAGAGTAACTGTCACCTCCCGTCTGTGCTTCTTGGAAGTCTCAGGGAAGGCTTGGTAAAGCAATTTCTGAGCATTGCTTCTTGAGATATTCTGTGAACATCTAGACCATCATGATTATGATGATGTTTCAAGCTCTGATCTCAGCCCCTTTGGCGATGCAATTCACAAAACATTTACTGCGTCCTGTGGTTTTTCATTGGTTGACCTAGGGCAGATACAGCATAAGTAAATAAGTTCCTGGTGTAGCATTTTAGCCCTCCTGTGTCAGATCCTGCCAGGTCAGGGAAAAAAGCCAAGGAAGAAGCTATCATTCTGTAATAATCTTTTTTAAATATTTTATTTATTTATTCATGAGAGACACAGAGCATGAGAGAGAGAGAGGCAGAGACACAGCAGAGGGAGAAGCAGGCTCCATGCAGGGAGCCCGACTTGGGACTTGATCCTGGGTCTCCAGGATCAGGCCCTGGGCTGAGGGCGACGCTAAACCGCTGAGCTACCTGGGCTGCCCGATTCTGTAATCATCTTGAATTTCAAAAATGACAGGTGCCCTTCTGGACAGGTATGGTGCCCTCCTTCCTTCACCCTTTATCCTCTACAATGAGTCTGGCCTGGGCTGAACCTGTATATTACTGTCCATGGGGATGGGCATGAATAACTCACAAAGAGATTCAGAACACTGGCCTGGAAGCCAAGGTCAGAGAGATTCTGTGCTCTCAGCACACCTCCCCGAGGGAGCATTTTGTCAATACCCCCAACACACCTGTTCTTTCCTTGGGACCAACACTCCTAGAACCCAAGAGTAGAACGCCTTCCTCCTCAGAAATTATCCTGGACTGCCAGTAGGCAAGGGTTTCCCTCTGGGTTGATGAAGATATTCTGGAATTAGAGTGGTGACAGCTGCACAACTTTGTGAATATACAAATATATTTTGAAAGGGCGAATGCTATGGTACGTGAGTTCTATCTCAATTTAAAAAGAAGTCATGGAATGCTAAGACTTTGCACAACAAATTAAAATATTGCAGCACAGAAACTCCTAGAAGACCACATGGACTCCATACTCAAGTGCTTTTTCTCTCTGTGCCTGCGTATGGGTCATGCCATCTGGTGTGGGTTGGGGGGGAGGGGATCTGATAAGTTTTATCCCCTGTTTTGTATCACGCTGGCATAACCTTGGTCTGAGTGTTGACTCATCCTTGCTTCCACACTTAAAACGGAGATAATGAGCCTGGCCTTTTTGATGAGGGTCTCTCGGGAAATTAAAAAAAATCAGTTTAAGCGCTTTAGAGATATGAGGTGCTAGATTCCTTCTAGAGAGTTACAGGAAGGGCTGAAGTGGCACCCACCCAACGTGTGTGGAATTAATTCTGGGCTGGCGAAGAGCAGGTGTGGGTAGGAGGCTGAACACGTGTTGCCCTGGGTGATTTAATTAGGGTGTTTGGTGCTCTATTAGGAGCTGTTAGTGCTCATGATTACTGTCCATGGTGAGGAGACTGGTTTCCACTGCAGTGGAGGGAAGGGACTTGGGGGAGGGGTATGTTTCCCAGGAGGAACCTTCTTGGTGCTCAGAAGTGAAGGCTTGACTGGGGGTTGGGAAGGGCTTGTGACGGGAACTTGCAGTGACCGCCTGGACTGCTGGGAGGCCCACCTGGGGGTTTCTTTTCACCTCCTTAGGGGGAAGGCCTGTGTCACCTACCTCCTCACTCAAAAGATGGGGCTGTGCCTATGGAAGAACTAAGACCCAGATGCAGGGGAGCTTCACTTCTCACACCCTCCACCCATGGCAACTTCCTGGCTGCCTGTACCGGTCACTTCCCAGCATGTGGGCAGCCTGCCCTACCACTGGGATGCCTGAGCATTCCAGGTGATTGGGTGAGGGGCCGAGGATGAAAGGGAGCTCTGACCATCTTGTCCCCTTGTCATCCCACTCATGCTCATTTACTCTTCTCCCTGGGCTGGAGGTTGGAAGAGGTAGGGAATACTATCCGTGTCTTTCAGGGATAGGCTAAGGATCTGTGGCTCATATGAATTCTTGACACTGACTTTACCCTGAGAAGACCAACCAGTATTCTTCTTTTTCCTCCTCCTTCTAGTTCTCATATCAGTGTCTGAATGTCTTCTTGCCACTTCTCTACCTGTTAAAGGGAAATCCACTCACCCTTCCAGGCCCAATGTCAGTATTTGCTTCTGAAAGGCTACTTTCCCTGGGTGGCTCAGTGGTTGAGCATCTGCCTTTGGCTCAGGTCATGATCCCAGGGTCCTGGAGTTGAGTCCCGCATTAGGCTTCCCTTAGGGAGCCTGCTTCTCCCTCTGCCTATGTCTCTGCCTCTCTCTGTCTCCCATGAATAAATAAATAAAAAATCTTGAAAGGCTACTTTCTTCCCTTTCTTCCACCCTCAACACAGGCAAGCCCACTCTTTCCTTCTGCATTTCCACATGGTGTCATTATGCACACGATGTAACACCTCCCACATTCACATTCACTCAGGGTGGGTTGCTTCGGAGAACTTGTTGAGGGACTCATTTAATTAGTATCACAGTGCCTAGAACAGTGCCTGGTGCATAATACATGCCCAATGTGTATCTGTTAAGTAAATTAATGAATAAATACATAAGTAAATAAATAAAGTAGAACATAATTTGTGCCCTCCTACAAATAGTGAAAGATAGTTATAAACTCCATAAATATTTAAAATTGCTTCCCTCTTTATGGTGTGGTACTTGATGAGAATACTATTCTAAATGTGTCTTATTAAATCTTTTTTATATCTATGGAATTATTTTTTTGGTCAAAGGTGATAAATTTTGGGATAAGACGACATGCCTTTTAAAAAACGAAGTTTTATAAAGCAATGCATTGCCAAAGTGTGTTCAGCAGAATATTAGTTCCCTAGGGTGGTAACAGTTGTTAAGGAAAAAAAATGATATGGGGGACAAATGAAGTTTAGGAGAGGCTGGTTAATCGGGTCTCTCTGTGGTGGGATGTCTCAAAGCTCCAATATGATATTGCTTAGGAATGTTAGCAAGACAGACTCTTAATAGCATGCTCCTGTAACAGCAGCTTAGCACCTTAGCACAGTGTGAAGTATGTAGTAGGGTTTTGGTCTTTGTTGTTAATTGTTGATGATAGTCTAGTGCCTGGATCTAGAGCCCTGAGAGCAGGTGAGTGCTTGTGTCTGTGATAAGGACCCACTTCTTCACTACCTCCTCCCTGTGTACCGCCTCTGCTCTGCAAAGATGAGAGAAAAATTAAAGGGAATTAAAACATTACCTGCCACAGCAAGTATCACACATCTCCAGTGGGCTCTGCAGCAAATGATTGTGGTTTTAGAAATATCCTGTCAGCCCCAGTGGCTCGGCAGTAACCTCAGGACTGCTCTGGACGTGCCTAGTTCTCTGCACAGTAATTACCAACTCTCTCCTTGGTAGATTCACTGGTGTCTAGGAGTAATTGCCAGGGAACTCACATTTTCAAATTTATAAGAGGCAAACAACCTTGTACTTACTCGAGGGGTTATCAGGGTATTCCAACTGTGCTAGGTAAAGGATGCTATTGATCCTAGAAATATGGGGAAGAATTTGAATTTTCACCTTGGTGTTTTTCTCAATGGGTGAGAGCCTAGCTCACTAGCTTATGGTGCAAAGACCCATGGGGGATAATTCTCTTTTTCTCAGGGCCTCTTCCCTTCCTTGAGATTTGAAACAGCAGTAAACTTGACCTAACTATAGCTGAAACCCTTTATTGTCTTTAACTGCAGCTGGCAAATTGGTACCATTGTCTAGGAAGAAGAGGAATAAGACTCAGAGTGGTCCAGTCAGAAGTCTGACCTATGCCTTTGGTGTTTGTCCTCTAGAGATCTCAGGGAACACAGAAGACATCCCTCTCGTGCGCTGGAGGCAGCAGTGGCTGGAGAATGGCACTTTGCTTTTTCACATTCATCACCAAGATGGTGCCCCCAGCCTTCCTGGACAAGACCCAACTGAAGAACCCCAGCATGAGTCAGCAGAAGAGGAACTGAGAATCCTGCACATCTCTGTCATGGTAAGAGTGGCGTGGCTCTAGCCTCTCAGGCCGTGTCTTATGTTATCCTGCCATTAAGAGCCTTGGAGCCATAGACACAGCTCTACAAAACCCACTGCACAATGATGATTGATCATGTTAATAAGTAAATTTCCCATTTGTGGAAAATGTCTCCGCCTATGGTGAAGTAAAAGTTGCAATTATTTCTATACCATTACCCAGCTGTTCTCTTTGGGAACATGCCTAGACATGGAGTGACTTTTACAAACAAGAGACAATATCAGATGGGGGTAGTGGATTGTCTTAGAAAGGGGTTATTCAACTAACATATCAGAATATCTTAGAACAGTTGCTCCATAAATGTCTGCTGAATGATTAAATTGCCCAGCTGCTCTCTGCTACCAAGCCCTCTTCTCTCTTTTCCCGGCTGAGAGAAGGTCAGCATTTGGCTTTCTCACCTCTTGCAACAAAGGGCATGTCAATACATACTTGCCCTTCTCTGTAGACTAGCTCAGAATGTCACCATCAGCATCTCTTCCCCTATTCGGAAATTTGAGGCCATGAGAAAATTAGAGAAGATTCTTCCTAAAATTCCTAGGAACTTGTGTTTTAGAATCTCACTCAAAAATAAGTGCTACAATGACAGGCAAGGGTTTTGTTTGGTGGTGCTTTGTTCACTAACATATTCTTAGCACTTAATGTATTCACATAGTTAAGGCTTAATAAATATTTGAGGAAGAAATGAATGAATTTCCTGGTCAAGATAGAAAATGCCTGTTTCACTTGTGGTGTGTATTTTATATATTAATATTATATTAGTAAAACCAATACATCATTTGCTTCTAGAGTAGGCTGGAGAGGTTGGCCTGATACTTCATGGGACATATGTACCAGAAGGCGTGGGTTGCTTCACGTTTATGAAATTCTACAGAACACCAATCTAGGTCTTGGTCTAAACTTTATCTATTACTTTGGTACCAGTGCTACATGCTATTTAGTTTTGTGTGTATCAGATTGAGAGAATCTGAGCACATTTTAGATATATAAAAATTTCCATCACCCAAATATTTGGCATTGGAACTCTCTCCATAAAATCTCTGACAAAATCTCAGAATGTAAGTCTTCCACTGCTTCCTCAACTGGTGTTCCTGTGAATAACTGGCTTGATAGATTACCCACATATACACAAGCTACTTTATTTTTAAACTACATGGTCGAGAAAAGAGTCCTTGAAGAGCAAATGGTAAGCCTGTGTGTAGATGTGTTAGAAGGCAGGCAGGTAAGTGAGATTGTTATGCCTCACATTTACAAATGAATTGAGGTTTATAATAAGGCAGTTACACTACTTGTACATCCTTAATTAAAAACTAGCATTTCCTCTCTCAGGAACATTGTCTTCTTTAATGTAGCTTGTAGTTTCCAGAGAGTGGTAAGACCAGGCAAATCAGCCGAATTAATGCTGACATTGACTGGAGTGACAGGCTTCGAGGTCACGTTGTCTTCACATTTATGATATGGTCTGATTGAAAAGACAGGCACAGCAGTGGACTTCTCACCAGCCATTCACATCTCCCTGTCATTGTGGAAAACAGTCATTGCCGTGGATGGTTTTTGTTTTGTTTTGTTTCTTTTGGTCTAAGACCATTTCAAAGAATGAGTCATCACACCAAAGAAATGTTTAGGGTTTAGAAAAGTGTATAGAGATTCCCAGGAACTAATATTGCGTGCCTTGTGTCTGAAAGAAAGACCCTGAGTACAGGTGGTTAAGACAGTCCATGTGTCAGAAGGTGTGTTGGTGGGAGCTGGGGGAGTAGTGTGAAGATCCATGGAAAGATAGTCTAAAGCTGGTCCTAGTTGCCACCTCACATCTTACTGTAGCAAGGATCCTACTTTCTGTCCTCAGAATGATGTACTCCAGTAAGTTTTCTGGAGAAGTATATGTGTGTGCATGTTTGTTATATATGTGCATATGTGCATGCATGTGCGTGTGTATTCACACATGCATGCGTGTTTGTGGGGGTGGGTGGCCATGAAGATAGAAATGCACCAATCAAGGATGCTGAAGGATTTGAGGACATAGTCTGTGCCCTTAAAATATAACAACCCCTTTGAGAATCCCTGTTACTAAAGCTTTTTTTTTTTTTTTTTTTGAGGCCCTCCTGGGCAAGGATTAATGGACCATGGGCACTGAAATGGAAAGAGAACAAAAGTCAGCCTTCAACCTGTCTCTGAAATCTTTCCTTCATATGCTACTGGTCACCCATGGCAGGCCAACAATGATGTTCTGTCTTCCAAGTAAAATGGAAGAGATTATTCCTTCAGTTGTACTTTAGTTTATTCTGTTATATTCACTAAGCTAGAGGGGAGAGAGGTTAAAAGTGCATGGGCAAAGGCTAGGTGTAGGCAAGTCTGGTGTTTGTCTGTGGTTTGACTTCTTCTATGTGGATAGGCCCACATCTCCGTGAAAAATTCAGAAAGGCCTTTGATTTCTGTAAGAAAACAGGAATACCAAGGTAAAGTGAAGATATAAATACTCCCTCCCATCCTTGTCAAAGACAATGTGGTCAATGGAGTCTCCTCCAGCCTGGCTTGCCACCTTCCCTTGCCCCATTCTCATTCCATGCCAGACACCCTCACACATCACCTCTCCTATCCTTAGCATTCTATTGTAGATACATTTCAAAGTCTGAAGTTGTGTGTCTGCCCTCAGCTTAGAAATCAAGCCTGAGGGTATCCTGTTTGAAGACATCGCTCCTAGAATCTCTGATGACTTCTTCTTAAGAGACTGAGGGAGTGGTAGACTTTATCTGATACCCTTTATACTATATCCTTTGGAGGTAAACTAGGCAGCCATTTGAGGCATCGGGAAAGAGAGCATTATAAATGTCAGAAGATTTTGCAGTCCTTTGACTAGTAACACTGTTGGGCAGCAGAATGCACTTACATGAAATTTTATTACCCAAACCCTGTTAGTTATGAAATGACAATAGCAGAGCTATTTTTCATTAACTCTAACAATCGATACTGATGCGGTTTTCTGTTTGGATCCAAATAACATAATTTGAAAAAGAGAAAAGTTAAAGTGATTATCAAAACATGAATACACCCAACCTTTTTCTCTCTTGTTGAGAAAATGTATATTTAAAAGCTTAACTGGTAATTCTAAATATTTCCAATATGTGCAGAGGGAATTAATGGTGCTGTGAAAACCTTCAGGTTTACATTCCTCTCATTTTGTATTTACACTTTTCTCATCCATATTGCCTCAATGCAGGGACCACTGTTTATTTTTATATTTTGCATTTACCAAGTTTAGTTTTAAACACAAAGTATAAGTAATGAGAGACTGAAAGGCAAAGGAAAACCGTTTTTGTATCCATATGACACTCCATGAATGAGAATTGGTGAATCCTCTCTTACACTGTGCCCACTATAAATATACCATCAGCAAAATTGTGGGCTTGCAGAAAACCAATACCTCAGCTGGGAACTTGGCAATTTGAAACTTTGAAAAACCTTTTGCTTTTCTTATTTTTCAATCACATCCTAAAATTTTTGAATTATTTTTTCCAAAGAGGTACTCTTTCCCTCCTGAAATCTTATATTATTGCTTTGAGGGTCAAACAATGTGTTTTAACCTCCCGCACGATTCAAACTAGGCTGAAGAGATTTATTTTGAACTTTGCAAGATAATTGACATTTAAAACTACTGAGGTACACAGGGATACTCTTTTGCAAACTCTTGAACAAGTGAAAGCAAAGTCATCAAAAGAAAATTGATGTGTGAATTTCAATCCAGAAGTCAAAGAATTTTTCAGCTATAAGCAAACTGTTTACCGCATAGAAGATCAGGTTTTAATACAACTTTACATTAGATATTCAGACTCTGTGGATTTAAATTTCCATATTGTACTTTTGCTAATTTGCCATATGATCCACATTTTTCTTCTTAAAGTATGCAAAAGAATTGAATGGTGCATAATAGCATTTTAATGTATTATCTATATATTTCATCTTTGTAATTAAAGATGGCAGTGTTAATAGACTTCCTCGATGCATATAGGTTGGTTAAATACATTTCTCACAGTGAGTAACCTTTCAAAAATGCTTGAGTTTGATGTATATATTTTGCAGTGATAACTCCCACCAGTAGATAATCTTTCATAGTTCAACCCTTCTTAGACACAATTCACAATTGTGGAAGAAAAAGAATCTCTGAGTGTTTGTCAATCTCCCTGATGACTGGAGCCCTTCATTGAAGGCTGAGTGCTGCTCAAGACCACCCACCCCGGCTGTGTAGAGCCTACTGGCCAGTGTCTGCAGGTTCTTGTGGCCCTTGACTACTGGCACTCTGGGTGTTTTCAGGCCCCTTGTTTTTGGGAGCTGAGCACTCAACACACAGTTTTCTTTTGGGCGAAACAATGCAGAAAACAGGTTCAGAGGCAGAAGAGGCCACAGGAGTGGCTACATGGGAGGATTCCCAGCATCCAGGAAGTAGGAGAACTGCAGAGAGGTTCCATTCTGGGGATGTAACACTTGAGCCGAGTCAGTACAAAACCTAAGGAACATACTTGTGGGAGCCTCTGGGATTGTGTTTCTGGGACCATAGACAATTTTGTGCCAGAGGCCCCATCCTTGCTCTCACCTGTGCATCCTTGCTCAGGTTCTGTTCAGCTGCCTGCACATCACCTGTGACTTTACTTAAAGTGGTCTTTGCTGCACTCCTCAAGCTCTATGTCTATGGGCAGGGAAGGGCAGAGCTAAGCACAGTCATTGCTCTGTGCCACCAAGGCCGTCAGTTAATTGTCTATAGGCACAGGAGAGCTAGGTGCTTTTTCTGTCCGTTTCTTTTGCCTTCAGCTGATCTGTTACAAAAGTTCATTAGCAAATTCATTAATGGGGGTCACTTTTACATCTTTATTGTCAATTTTTATTATTTGCTTAGTTCAACTGAGGATGCCCTGATTTATCAGGGCCAATCTTTCTGATCTTCAGAAGGAAATGGAACAGTTGAAACATCT